AAATTCATGTGTTCATACGTTTGATCTGAGTATGACTTGGTCCAAATTAACTCTACAGTAGCCATGAAACATTTCCAATCTGATCAACATGCTCTACGTACCCAGTCAACAAACAAAAATCACTTTTGCTTTTATTAACATATCACAATCATAATTAGTTTCTTTTCCCTTTTGGGACAGCAAAAAGTTAATTAGTTCGTGTGGGGTATCAACATCTTCCAACCCTAACCGTGTTAGTTGGGTCAAACTTCCCCGCGCGCACTACACGTTCCTAGAACTATATATATACCCGTAACGGATGGTACCGAAGTAAAAAATCTTACATGCCAAAAATGGACCGATTTTCTCTTATTATTTTCTGCTTTCTTGTGGCATCAATCCTCTTCATAGCTGGAGTTCAAAGTAAGCTGTCTCTTTCCTTATTTGTGGAATTAATTAAAATTTATCAATAACCTTTCTTACTGAATAGTTTTGTGGTTGCGGGTGCATGTGTATATGTTCCCAAGGTGGCACTGCACAGAGCAAAGGCCAAAATTCTAAGCATTCATCACCTACTGCTCCAAGTCAAGGGCAGAAGAATCCACCCCCGGCTCACCAAAATTCTCCATCTAATTCAGGGAAACGCCCTGAAGTTTGTAGTAATTATGCTGCACTTAACAGAAATCCAAAAGTTACCGAGGATTGCTATCCTAGAAAACCTATCAGGTGTTCGGGCCGAGGATGCGGCTGAGGAACTAAGAGCAAGCAACAATAGAACAAAAGCTTAACCACCCCTTTAGTTTTTTTTGCTGCTTTGTTTTTTAAGTTAGTTTTTGGAAGCATCCATATTTTGTAAGTTGTTCTTCTATTTCGATTTGCCCAAGAAAAGGGCAGTTTGGCAAGTATTTAAATACTTTCAATGATTCTTCTTTTTGTTTTGATTTATTTAGGGTGTTTTTATAATTATGTAACCCAACTGAAGAATGCAGTTTGGATTAAAAAAAATTCTCTTAAGAAATACATAATATAATTGTTATTATAGAAGTATAAATTGGAATTGAAGAGCAATGTTTCAAGTGATTACGCATTCATGCAAGGCTTGCCTCTCCTGCTTGAATTTACAAAAAGTTCACTATATAGATCGGCAGGATCTTGTCTTGTATATATGTTCTCAGTCAACAATGACTAAATATGATCATATATTATAAAATAAAATTAAATGTTAACCAAAATTGATCACAGGTTATCTCTAAAAAGTTATATCCAAGGGAAAAGTAATGGTAGAAGGACTTGCATGTTTTGACAAGAAACTGGCATCTAACATGGTCCAATTTCCAAAATAGAGTCAAAATCAAAGGCATTTCTGTTTAAAACATTGTTAAGCAATATTGCCTTCTCAATTTATGCATCATAATCTTTTAAAATCTGAAAGTATTTAAATTTGAAATATTAAGTTGAAATTACCTTTAAATACAAGAAGAATTTGGGAAAGCATAGATAGGATCAGCAAAATAAAAGATTTTATTAATGGCAGTATAGGGTATACTCTAATTTCATTAAGGTAAAAATTATATGTTAAGTCCCAAAATTAATCATAAATTTGTTATTGAGCCCCTAAACTTTGATTGATACATATAAGTCCATGGACTCTATGATCTGAGCAATTTAGTTCTTAATTCTTTAACTACTATAAATATAAAAGTTAAATTGCTCAAATCATGGAGTTTAGGGGTTTATATGCATCAATTAAAAGTTAGGGGCTCAATAAAAAATATGGAGTTAGTTCAGGGATTTAACATATGATTTTACCACCCATTTAACGCAAAATAATTTTATACATAATCCATGAGTACAGTTTTTAGTACTGCAAAATATTAGATGGACATGCATGTTTTGACATGAGCCTAACTTCTAACATGGTTCAATTTCTAAATAGAGTCAAAATCAAAGGCATTTCCATTTAGAGCTTTACTAAGTTACATTGCTTTTTCAATTTATACATCTACACGTTACAATCATCTAAAATCTAGAAATATCTAAATTTGAGATATTAAGTTTGAATTACCTTCAAATGCAAGAAGAATTTGGAAAAGCATGAATAAGCAACGAGATTACCCACTTTAACTTCTATATTTCTCTTAATTAATACAGTTTTTAATATTGCAAATGGATGATCTATATATTGTCACGCTTTTAAAAACACATATTATTACTCAGGATGAGATGGAAAAAAAAAAGGAGAAAAGGGAAAAGAAAAGGAATTGCTCCAACCCTCACTGTACGTTATTGGATACTTTTAGAGCATGTGAACCGTCTTTAGAAAATTCATGTTCACACATTTGATGATGACCTGAGTTGACTTGATCCCAATTAAGTCCAAATTAACCAGGAAAAATTTCCATATTAATCTTGTCAACTTCCTCTACGATGATTAATTGCTTTGTCGTCTCTTGATTGAGATAAAAATAATCGTCAGTCCGTGTGAACCGGGCATCAACATGGTCCAACACCTAACTAGACGTTGTTGGAATTAGACTTTATAGAGTGGGCACACTAACACGCCATATGTATATTTGTGCCCACGTATAAGCAAGCTATTTAATTAGCACAACAATTGAGGCTATAAAACAGACGGTACCCAAACTAAAAAATTTCCCTATACAGCATTCTTCCGTACCAAAAATGCACCGACTTTCTCTTATTATTTGCTGCTTTCTTCTGGCATTAATCCTCTTCATGATCCCACATGGAATGGTAGCACATAGAATTTTAGCTG